CCCCAAAACCCCAAAACCCCAAAACCCCAACTAAACACCCAGATATTGAAATTAAATCTTTCCATGGCTATTAAAGAGTTGTCATTAAATCTACTATTCCTCAGAATTCCTTGACTTTGACCTACTTTCTAATTTACTCTTGCCAATCGACTTATTTTTTCTTTCGTTCTTTCCGACTCCAGAGTTCTTCTGTATGACTGTCTCTTCGTCCCATTTGACTCCCCTTTTCTCTCCTGTTAGCTTATTCTGAGGAGCATAGCTGAAAAGAACCGTAGCGAGAAGTGCTGAAACTGTAAATGCTATAAGTTGGATAAGTGTACAATTTTCTCCAATACATTTTCCGCTATCATTTCTTGCTTGCCATTCATAGATAAAATAAAAGAATACATCAAAGATTACCATTCCGATAGAACTGAGGAAGAATATGAATCCGAGTCGTAGTACAAAGAAATTGTCCTTTATCTCTTCAATAATACAAGATGGAATACCAATCCATAAGACTCCTGAAGATAAAGCAACTAGAATACAGGAAATATACATGAATATGCTTCCCAGCGGATTGGCTAAGAAGGCAGCTCCAAATCCCAATACTGATATCATTCAAGTATTTCTCAGCCAATCTGTAGGTCTTTGAATTACTGAAAGAATAGAAAATATCAATCCTCCAATAAATCTTCCTAAGATATCTATGATCCAGAAGGTATGAGCCAAATTTTCAGATGAGTCTGTCTGCTCAATGGCAAACGTCATCTTAAAAATATTGGAATTAAACGCATATGTTGATCCAAGTATCAAAAGAGAGCCAAAAGCTAAACTCAAATATTCACCAGAGCAAAGAATCATATGAAAATCTTTCCAATAAAGAACTATTTTGGGACGGAGGGACCCTTGAGATGCTTCTGAATCTTCTCTAATTTTCAGCCTGAATAAAATCACGAGCATAAAGTTTATTACAAGAGTGACAATGAAGAGTATTGTACCGATAAGAAAATATTCATTTGTGATGCAAGTGATATAAAAGGACACAATAAATAACAGTTGAATAAGCAGATAATATAAGCAATATTTAGCAGTATCAGTGTCATTAAACATGCTCATACAAACACTCCTCGGAATCTCATAGATCTGAAATGCAGTGATTCCATAGAGAATTGCCAGAAAAATTCCTTTCCCAATGAAATAGGGTTTCAATTTGATTTCTTTAAAGAGAGAGTTTTTGATAGAAAATTCGATATCTGGTGCTATTTTCCAATAGCAAAATAACATTGCAATACAAAAGACAGGGAATTTCTTGTGAGTGTAGACAGTTAGGATAATTGATATAAAAGTTACAATGCTTCCACTCACAGCAGCAGTAAATCAGAAAACAAAAATCAAAATTTCTCCTAACTGATTCTTCATCTCTACTACAAATCCTAAACCAACAAAAGATATGAGAGCTAATGCAGATGCGATCAGAAGAGCTGTCCTCTGTCCTATAGCTTCTTTGAGAAATGCAGGTATTATTCCAATAAAATATCCAAAAATTACAACGTATTTAATTGCTGTTACAGTTGAAGAATTATATCCATTAGTTTTCCCAATTTCCTGACAGTAATTGACTCCTGTATTACAGATGACAAAAATGCTCAAAGGCAATACAAGCAATAAAGTCCATGTGTGTGAAGATGCCTATATCCAAGATATTAGAAATGTACTAAATTTTTTAGAATATGGCTTAACCCCAAATTTAACGAACATTATCACAGAATAACGAAGTACGATGAAGTGTCTATTGCGTATGCCTTTTATAAAAATATAATCATTTTTAACAAAAGATCAAATATTCGGATATTCATTAGTAAAATTTACTCCATTGAGGTGCTTTGTCACGAATTACCTCAAATAGAAATAGGCTGATCTAATTTTATTCCAGCTTTTATGTATATTATTTTTAGCTAAATAGATATCCTGAACATAGACTCAAGCCTTAGAAACACAGTAAGTCTCCCAAATATACTCACACAAGCCTGCCATAAATAAAGTTTTATCTGAGATTTGTTAGAAAACATCCAAAGATATAAATTCATTAAATTTTTACACTAATCCACCTTCTTAAAAATCCCCAAAATCCAAACTCTTCCTCTCAATGCCAACCCTACCTCCATTCACACTCCCCTCCCCTCCCTAAACCTCGTTCACAACTCCAAGCCCATTAACCTTCCTAGCCCCCTTCTAAACCCACCTGTTCTTTATCCCCTCCGTTTCGATTCTTCAGATTACTCTTCTTGTCTCTGCCCATCGCTTTCCTTTTCATGGCTGATTGTTAAATTTATATTTTAAGAGGTGGGGTTTTGGGGTTTTGGGGTTTTGGGG